CTTCACGCTGACAGCTTCCCGCTGGGCTCATAGGTCCCGAGTAGTGATGGCTTGGGCGTGTTCGCAAGCGCTTGTGCCGAGCCCGGCAGGAAGCCGTCAGCGTGTAGGGCCAATCACAGGCACTGAGACATGTTTCCGGTCCACAGCCGCAGAGATCGGGAAATGTCTCAGTGCCTGTGATTGGCCCTTCACGCTGACAGCTTCCCGCTGGGCTCGGCACGAGGCGCTTGCGAACACGCCCGAGCCCATCACTAGTCCTGAGACGTCTGATGCTCCAGCCTCCTGACGAAGTCACGCAAAGACGTAACGTACATAGGGCTGAGCATTTCACGTCACTCTTCTCAGCTGAGCCGGAAGGATAGGAGTCCCTTTGCACCCATAGATTTGTACTGTGGTGTCCATTGGATATTTGTTTTATGCCTTTTGTCACCAGCGACATTGTGACTACCTGCTTTAATTTTTTTTTAAAAGCATTTGTTTGGACGATACACACTATGTCCTCTTCATATTTTATTTCCTTTTGAAATGATGATGTTATTTGCGAGCTGAGGAGGTCACCTGGTCTTCAGTCATACAGGCTTCCCTGCCCTATTTAGAAGGGAAACGCGCCTTTAGACCTAGTTCTGTGGGTCTATCTCCCCAGGTGAGCACTGCTCCAATTTTGCATTCACTGGGTGGAGGTGAAGGTCTGTCAGGATTCTGTGGAAACTGCTTACGTGGAAGTTTGGATCTATCCAGTGGTGGATTATCCCCTGCATTTATTTGCACGATTTTAATTGCTGCACATTAGACTTTGTGTTTTTCACTTTGTTCACATATTTTCATGTTTTGATATGCTCTTCTGTGTATATTTTTAAAGCAGGTAAATTTTTTAAGTGCAACTCTAGCCAAAATTTTTTTCCGTTTTGGATAGCATAGGGAAGGGTCACGTTTGTTTTGCTGTCTGTTCCTGTTGTTCAGAAGATTATAATATAATAAAAAAATGTTTTATTTAAAATGACACACCCAAAAAAGTTTTTTTCTATTCTTAATTTTATTTTATAAACTTTTTTTATTGGTTTGCATTTTGTCTTTTTAATTTTATTTTTTATAATTTAAAAAATAGTTTTTTTAATGCTGGGAGCAATAGCCAGCCTGCTGTTGGATATTTCAAATTGCAATAGCCAAAATTGCAATAGATGGCTATTGCATCTGCCCACTGCCTGCTGTCAATCAGCAGAGGAGGGGCGTGAAGGAGAAAGTTCTCTATCAGGTCCTCCCATCCTGATTGATAGCAGGCAGTGGGCGGGTGCAATAGCCAGCTTGCTATTGGCTATTGCATTTCACAATATCCAATAGCAAGCTGGGTATGGCTCCCAGCCTACAATGAAGAGTAGGCAGGGGGGCGGGAAAGAGAAGCGGCGGCCGGACCAGGGGAGCGGAGGATCGGCCGGACCAGGGAAGAGAAGAAGAGAAACGTCCGTAAGTCGGGGGCTGCCTGTACTGTCATCAAACCGACTGTCAGAAAATAATTTCAACAACAGGTTAAGTAATGGAGATTTTTTTTCAAGAGATGCATTTAAAGTCTAGTTGAGCCCTCTTAATTTATTACTGTAATTTGTCAGACTGCATATACCAGGGGTCTCAAAGTACCGGCCCGCGAGTATGTGGCCCGCAGCCAGCTCACAAGTCAGGCACACGGTCACGGACATCAGGGGCGCCCACAATTTTTCATCTGGAGATCTACTTTTCAAATGACGAGCTCAATGAGATCTACCAACGAAAAAACACCTGCATTCAGGGGCGGGAGGGGGCGTGGCAGTGCATTGAAGTCAATGGCACCGCAGCCACGCCCCCAGTGCAATCGCCACACCAGGAATGCAGGCACATTAGTGCCTGCGGTCCGGTCCAGTGTGATCTGCAAAAATGCTGCATTTTGCGCATTTTTGCAGATGGTGCTGGACCGGAACGCAGGCATTAATGTGTCTGCCTTCTGGGTGCCGGCGATCACACTGAGGGTATGGGGCGTGGCTGTGGTGCCTTTGCCTTCAGTGTACCGGCACGCCCCCTCCCGCCCCTGAACGCAGGGAGCCGGCCGGCTTGCGTTCCAATGCGTTCTAGAGGCCGAACACTCTGGAAAGCAGACTTTGTGGTGTGAACCGGCCCTCTCTTCTCTCTCTCCTTGCGCTCTCTCCTCTCTCTCTCCCATGTTTCTATCTCTTCTCTCACTTTCTCTGCTGTCTCTTCTTTCACTTTCTCTGCTGTCTCTCTCCTGTCTGTCTTTTCTTACCTCCACTGCAGCAGCTTCCCAAGTCTCCACTCCTCTCTCCTTCCCGTCTGCAGCATCTGACACATTCAGCCGCACAAGCACCGAGGGAGGACATGACACAAGTCAGTGAGCCGATCGCGATCTACCAGTGTTCGCTTTGCGATCTACCTAATGGGCACCCCTGAGCTACATCTCTGTCGGATGCAGACCAGCAGAGTCGCTCCTGTCAGCTCCGGCCGGAGCTCTGACAGTTCTGAGCTCTGGCCAACCGATGCATTAGTAAGGTCTGCACTAGACCTTATTAATCACCACTGGATCACCAGGGAATGACTTGTCTCCTCCCTGCAAAGATGCAAGCAGGTGAGGGGGGAACTTTTTTTATTATGTGTGCTGGGGGCTTGGGAGGGAGAGGGGAAGATTATTATTATAAGTGATGGGCCAAACAGGCCCGAGTTCAGTTCAAATTCAAACTTTAGAACATGCAGAAAGTTCGAATTCGAACTCAAACTTAACGCAAGTCTATGGGGGTAGAACTTTCAAAATCAATTGTCCCCCTTTTGCAAGTTATTGGACATAAAAAGGGTATGGAGATTCGAATACTGCACTGGAGGTCATGTATCAATTAAAAACGTTTTTGTTTTTTAAATAACGTTTTTAAAGAAGCAGTTATTTTTACATCACTTAAAGGGTAACAATAAAAATTAAAACATTCCTTTAAATATCATGCCTGGGGGTCCCCTTAAACTGCCTGTGAAGTGGTGGATCTGTACGATGTATAGAACCTGCTGCAGCAAAAGGGAAAAAAATTACATTTCAATTGCCGGTAATTCGTTTTCCTTTAATCTTTTAAACAACTTTAAACAACTGCTTGGAAGAGGCCACATTTTAGGACACTCGGAACAAGGTTGGAGATTTTTGGGATAAATTCCGGTGCCCCTTTTGCAGACGTTGGATGAATCTAACAACAGGTGCTTTAAAATTGGGCCTTTGGTGTTGGCGGTGCCTTCACACCATAATCCTTCAGTTATTCTTGAGGAGTGCAGGATTGGACCCTGCTCTAAAAATTCAAATTATATATACCTGTCACACAGGTTTGGAAAAAATGGGCCTTTGGTGTTGGCAGTGCCTTCACACCATAACCCTTCAGATTTACTCTTGGCGAGTGCAGGATTGGACCCTGCTGTAAAAAATTCAAATTATATGCACCTGTCACACAGGTGCCAAAAAAAATTGGGCCTTTAGCGTTGGCGGTGCATTCACACCATAACCCTTCATATTTACTCTTGGCAAGTGCAGGATTGGACCCTGCTGTAAAAAATTCAAATTATATGCAACTGTTACATGCGGGTGTGGAAAAAATGGGCCTTGGCTGTTGGTGGTGCACTACACCGAGAACATTACTTCAAGAAGGTTTATAATGTTTCTATGCTGCTTTTGTGATATTTCTGGGGGGTATTTTAATGCAAATGTGTCCGGATACGTTTATAAGGATCACTAGTATGCAATTAAAAAAGGGACCAGAACAAGCCACCAAGCGTGCGTTACTGCGCTTGCGCTAGGGCTGCAGCTAACAATTATTTTAAACATTGATTCGTTAGCCGATTATTAAGTTCGACTAAACGGACTAAAAATAAATAAATAAATAAAGGCTCCAGTGATACACTACTAGTTTCTATTGGGAATGTAGTCCATCACGGGCGCAAGCTTGGAGTGGTGGAAGTATAAAAAAGTGTGGTGTTCAATATAGTACATTATACAGTGGCACAATGCAGAATACCACCAGTTATAGAGGAATACAACAAATCCCAGCAATAATACATTATAGTATAATGTACTATTGCTGGGATTTGTAGTCCTCTATAGCTGGTGTTATTCTGCATTGAGCTGTATAATTTATTACTGCTGGGATTTGTAGTCCTCTATAGCTGGTGGTATTCTGCATTGCTCTGTATAATGATTATACAGCAATAGTATATTATACAGCAGCACATTGCAGAATACCAGCAGCTATATACGAATACAACAAATCCCAGCAATACATTATACATGCAGTGTATAATGTATTGCTGGGATTTGTATTACTCTATAGCTGATGGTACATGGCTCTGTATAATATACAGCACAATGTGCCTGCAGCTATAGAGGAATACAAATCCCACTATCCCAGCAATACATTATAGAGCACCATGTGGGGGGAAAGTGCAGGCTTACCTGAGAAGTCTCCCTGTGATCGTGGGACGGTCTGTCGCCAGCTGCCTTCCCCCCATGCCTGCTCCTCCTTGCTTCATCGTGCCGATCGTGGATGGGTGGGCAGCAGCGAATCCGTGAGGCAAGTAGAAAAAAACGGCGTGCGGCGAGTATGTGAGGAGAAGTGGCGTGCGGCGAGTCCGTGAGGCGGGGAGGAGTCATGCCGTGCAGCGAGGCAGAGAGGAGAAATAGCGTGCAGCCTGCGTCATGCGACCTGCGAGGAGCCAACCATTTGAAAGTTAACTAATCAAACTAATCGATGATGGAAAACGTTGACAACGTTTTCCATCATCGATTATAATCGACTTAGTCATTTAGTTGTTGCAGCCTTAGCTTGCGCTAACAACTGTTAAAATTTGCATTTTACTGCATGCTACCACAAAGCCCTCAATGGCACTCAGAACTGTAGAATATTAGCACAGAGGAAATATAAACCTAAATCTCATTTAACCTTTAGCTGATTCTCAATAATCCAGCTATATGTAAATCATCATTTTTATTTTAGGTGGCTGGGTGAAAATAGATCGTTCCTGCTTTATAAGGAAAAGAAGAGCTGATTTTGTTTCTGGTGCAATACATGGAAGAGTTGTTGTTGCAGGGGGTCTTGGTAAGTAACTTAGCTTTAAAAATGTTATAATGTTTCGAATTGGTTGGAGGTTTTAAAGGGAAATATAACAGGTTTGTTTTCTATCTCTGTGTATATATATATATATATATTCATTACAGTCTTTGCTTTACAAATGAACACATCACACAGCATTACTGTGCACGAATCCCCTCCTGATCAGAGCAGTACAGATTGGATGTCACAGCTGTGACATCCGTGTCTGTCCAGTTTTATCCTCCATCTAGCAATGGAGGAAAGAACTAAAACTGCCGGACCCCATGTCGGTCTATGGGGAGTTAGATGTAAACGGACATGTGTCTGTGTCAGGGACCGGAGCACCTGCAGGTGGCACTGTGGCGCCGGAACCAGATCCTGCAGTTCCAGTGCTCACCTGCAGGTGTCTCCAGCCAGTTGCTGTCAAGTGCCAGACCACCTCTGGGTGACACTGTGGTGCTGGAACCTGCAGTTCTGATGCTCTCCTGCGAATGTCTCCCAGCAATTAGTCAACACATGGTGCTGGTCTGGGGAGGTATTTAGCCTCTGCTTGCAGTGAGGCCTGTGCCTCAGTATTGTTGCCATAGCCTGTATCCTGTTCCTGCCTTGTACCCTGACCTGGACCTTACCCTTACCCCTGAGGCCCCCTCTAATCTGTGTCTCCTGGCTCTCCTCTTTGTTGCCCTGCTCTCCAGGTTATACCCAGCCCTGTTATCTCTGATTTGTCGTTTGTATATCGTTTAGCTCTCATATGTTACTTGCGGGTGGTGGTGGGCTTGCATGTGTTTGTGTTGTTTTTCTAATAAACTATAGTTCACAGGAATTGTTTGGTATCTGAAGTGTGGTCACATATTTGGTTCCCCTGTAGAGATACCTGCATGTGGTGTTGGGACACCTGTGCACGGTCTCATGACAGTCTGTTTACATCAGATTGCCCCTGATCCGGTACGATTAGGTCCGGCAAAAGAGACACTGTTCTGTTTGTTTTTCCAGAGGCAGGGGTAACCAAGTGTAAACGGACGCCTGGGAGCATGGGGCATCCGATTGCGTTCACCTGAAAAACTGACAGGAGGACCCGATCAGACCGCTCGTGTGAAAAGGCCTTACTGTAACATATCAATTTTTTTATATAAAGTAGAATTATCTGAGGTGGACCTCTGTACTAAGACGCAAGCTTTACTTGCTTGTTGGATATAAAGCTGAATAAAAAGCATATAGAATATTTTATATTTACAAGAACAAAAAAATGTTCTTGGCCCTAACCATAAAAAACTAAGAAACTATGTTCAAAGCAACTATACATTTCTTTGAATATATTAATTGAAGTTGTAAAAACATCTTTAAACAATGTAATTTTGGTATATGTACAGGTATACCCTCCTCTTATATGAGTATCTGAGTGTAATTAGGGTTGCCACCTTTTCTTCAAGTGAAACCTGAACACTCAAGCGCTGCGTGCAGCAATTTATTTTTAGAATATAGTGGAGAGAGCGAGGAGAGGAAGCCAGGAGAAACAGCAAGAAGAGGCAGCCAGGGGAGGGAGTAAGGAGACGATTTATAGAGGACTACAAATCTCAGCAATACATGATACAGCAATACAAAATCATATGAAGCTACATACCTTGTGTTGTTTTGGGTGGTGCCCTGATGTCTCCAGGGTCTCATGTGGCCCATGCGACCTCTCATGTGGCCTGTGCAGGCTCTCAGGTAGACTCCACGGGCTCTCAGGTGGGCCATGCGCACTCTCAGGTGAGTTATGCGGCTCTCAGGTGGGCTATGCAGACTCTCATTTGGGCTATGCTGGCTTTCAGGTGGCTGTGCGGAGGTCTCACCAGGGGTCCAGTGGCCGGCAGCATGCTATCAGGAAGGAGCCCCCCCGCAGCTCCACTAGGACCAGGAGGCATTGTTGCGACAGTTCACAAACTATCAAAGCACTATCTGTTCAACAAAGAAACACACACTAGTGATGGCCCTGGTTAACCCCTCAAGCCGCGTACCTGTAGCCGCACAGACAGCCGCACACTCTGCCGGGACTGCGCCCACATAGCAGAGGGTCCTCCTTAATGCATTCATCTCCAGGACCCCGGGGCTGCCCTTGTCTGCCTGAAATTGTGACATCTTGTGTCCGGGGCTCAACTGGCCTGAAAACTGGACACAAGATGCCAAATCCGAACTGTCCGGGTGAATCCTGGACAGGTGGCAACCCTAGGTGTAATGTTCCTCTAGTGATCTGATACCTTTGCAGCATATGCAGAGATTGATAATAATTCAAGGACCTGAACCTTTAAATTAGAGTTGCATAAGCAAGTATAATTTTGCATACCATTTTATCTTCTATGTAAAAAAAAATAGCCCTCACTTTTTGGTGTAGGACTACAGTAAGACAGCATTGTTATTGTGCCTAAAACATTTTGATTAAGCTTTTACTTTTTATGTAGCTAATGTATATAAATATTCTTGCCCCATACAAAAAATAGGGACGTTTATGGTACCTATTTGCACTAATAAGATCATTAGTTTAGTTTAGTTTTAAATGCACAAGAGAGAGCAGGGGGGATCCATGGGAGAAGCTGAGCCCCCGTGTGCATGGCCGAGCGGCAGGGGATCGGTACATATCAGTGATATGTACCAATCCTCTGTGCAGGACAGACACTGGAGCGATCAGCTGATCACTCTAGTGTTTGTAAATAACTGGGGACACATAGTACTATGTGTGCCCAGTTATAAATGAACAGGATGTGATTTACATCACTTCCTGTTCATTCATGAGTTTCTCAATGGGGAGAAGCACTCACTACAGATGCTCCTCCCCATTCAGAAACTGATGATAGTAAAATATATTCTGAATGAATGGGAAGCCTCTGTGCTTTCCATTCATGTAGAACAGAGGCTGCAAAAAAAGGGATTGAGGACTTTGTGTCCTCAATTTCTTTTTCTATTATAAAAGGGAAATATCAGGGGGCTGTTTAGACCCCTAAATTTTCCCTGAAGACCACCCCCCCAAAAGGAAAAATAAAAAAATAAAAAATAAAATAAGAAATACAAATAAAATAAGAAATAGTGGGTGACATCACATGCCTGTTGGGGGGGATGGTTTTTTATTTGCCTTAGGCGCAAAAGGAGCTGGCTACGGCTATGCTCCCATGGTGCTCGTGCAGCTGAATGTGTTAGACACCGCAGATGGAAAGGGGCAGGACACCTCTCCCCATGTGCAACGTCGGCCAGACGGGCATCACGGGAGGACAAGACAAGGCCTCTAGGACGCACTGGAATGTAAGTAGAGCTGCAACAGTTAATCGATTTAGTCGATTAAAATCGACGATTGAAAAAGCCGGCCGACTCCCTGTGTTCAGGGGCGGGAGTGCGATCTTCAAAAATAGTGCTCGCAGCATTTTTGCGGATCGCACTGCACTGGAACGCAGGCACCAATGTGCCATTGACTTCAATACAACCCCACACCCCCTCCCACCCCTGAATGCAGGTGTTTTTTCGTTGGTAGATCTCATTGAGCTTGTCATTTAAAAGTAGATCTCCAGACGAGAAATTGTGGGTGCCCCTACTGTAAACAATGTTACTCTTTTTCTGGAAGATTCATCAGCCTTACGTTATGTGCATTGTACTGTACTCCTTTTGTTCTTTGACAAAACCTTAATAAAAAATATTAAAAATTAACATCACAAAAACCCCAGAATGGTGTGTGTAAAGGAGAGTAACGGCCTCCCCTAATACCATCAGCAGTGGTGGTACACAATGTGATGAGTTCACATACACCACTGCATGCAACCTGGGAAAGGATTAGCACCCCTATCAGGGCCGGTGCTAGGATTCTTGCCTACACAGGCAAGGTGCATTTTTGCGCCCCCTGCCCTCCCCCCTGTAAAAATAGGGCATTTTGACAAGTACTTGTACTTGTCAAAATGCCCCGATGTTTGCGCTATGGTTTTTTTTTTTTACTTACCTTCGGCGCGGACCTGAGGTGACGCGCGTGTCGGGATCCCCTGGCAGTCGCCGGCCAGCTAAATTAGGACCCCACCTGGAGCTCCTCCCACTGGACCAGCGCTGACTCGCCGCTGCTCTGCCGCACCGAAGGTAAGTGAAAAAAAAAACCATAGCGCAAATATCGGTGCATTTTGACAAGTACAAGTACTTGTAAAAATGCCCTATTTTTCCGCCCTCACCCTGCAGCGCCCTCAGGCGGCCGCCTGACTTGCCTTGCGGTAGCGCCGGGCCTGACCCCTATTATGCCTTGTCCAAGTAGGAAAGATAGAAGGAACTGTCTGCTGGTACGTTTTCACTAGGGGTTTTAGAATGTGTCTCCACCATTCATCCAATGTTAGAACTTGAGGGTGGATGCGGTGAAGCCATTTGTTCCTCAGTGGAATGCACGCACAAGTTTTTCAGCTCACTACAGCATATGTAATGCTCTCATGTTACTTGCTACTGATGCCAAGGGAAATGAGAAGATGTTGTACTTTGTTCCTCTCCACCTTCTTCACACATCGGGAGATAGTAAGTGTAGGTGTGCCTGCTGTAACCTGCCCCCACCTTGTGAGAGTAGTAAGCGGGTTGTCTTTCAGCCTAGGTTGGTTTCACCAGCTGAGATAGTCCTTGCTTGTTTGGGAAAAGGAGGCAGAGATACATAATGTTTGGAGAATAGACCTTAATTGTTGGCCAGTCTTTAATCTGCTCATTACCGCCTCAAACCCTGGGAATCATGGTATTTGGCACACAAGTAAATGAATGTGGTACTATTGAAAAACATTTTTTTTTATGTGTGTGTAAGTTATGCTGCTTTAAAACTAACTCGGCACAAAAACTTGCATTTAAAGATATTCCTTGATAGCCACAAAGGGATATAAATCCACTTTATATACACTTAATGTCTTTGCAAACACAGTTATTACCTTGTATAAAGGTGGTGATACCATCATCACTGTGATGCACATAGCTAGGCAGAGAGCAGAGCCGTGGGAGGAAGGCAACAACTAGCACTACTACTTCCAGCA